TCCATTCATCCAGACTACAAGCACTTGTAACTTGCATAACTATCTATTCATAATTGAAAAGTAAATATTATGATATGAACAATATAAATAATTAACTTATGGATTAATATAAGAAGTACAGAAGCAAAATATATAACACAACTATTCTTAGTATTATCTATAAAGATCCATATCACAATATCGGTTTCCGGGAATTATAAGGGAATGGGAATCCATTCAAGTAGGTGGGAAATATTTAAATATTTTGATTAACAAATTTCTTAACATGTCCGGTTTACTTTTGGCGTGTACATAACAACCATTGTGCCGTTATTATAAGATAATCGCCAATCAATTTATTTTCCCACAACAATTACCGAAGGTTACTTGTACACAAAAATGTATAAAGTTCAGTGTGTGTTAACTAGCCTACAGGTTGGAAGTACGCCTATTCCTAAATGGGAGCATTGGCCTACATTCTATTTGATAACATTCACTAAACACGATAGCTGATAATTCTACAAAGATTATAAAATGTTCAAATTTGAATACAGTTTACGCAATGTTTAAGCACTAATCTAAAATCTTGAGTAAACCGTTATAAGTTATAACATAAAGATGTGACAACCAACACATGTAGAATCTAAAGCCATTTACTTATTGGTGCGATTTGTGGTTTGTCTTTTACTATAACATATTGGGACATGTTAATTATGAGTTTTGTGAGTATGACGGTGTATTCATTATGCTTTACAAGTACTAGGTCGCTATACAATGATGTTTTTTAATCAAAATTCAGAGAACGCTTACTAAAAAAATCAACTTGATATTGCCATGTAATTTGCTAAATTTACAGTTCTTTTTAATTTACCATGTATTAAATTAGGATGAATACCTTTTCGCCCTTAATTTCCTTAATAAAGAATCTGTTATGTGTCGCTCAATGATTTAGAAAGACTTTTAGTTTGCACCGTAAGTATATTTTTTGCACGGTAATACTTCTCAAAAAGGAGGATTTTATATTGGTGTACGTTTTGCTAGGTTTTGGGTTTCAAAATTTCTCGGCAAAGCTACCAAATCCACACGGTATCTGTGCTTAGATAGTTTGGTATGATTTTGAACTAGTTTGTAGTTCGTAACATGTTATGCTACATAAATAAATTCTTATCCATATTAAAATTATTTCGGCTATGATATTGAAATTCTCGTTAGTATAGTGTGGTATTTGTTATATATCCTAATTTAAATATCCATAAGTTATCAACTCAGTTACAAAACTAAGATGTTTTCTGACAGCCTCCATAAAGAATTTTCTACTTCTCTACGAATATTTTGCTGAGAGGGTTGCTGAAGTAGATAAGGAGAGGGGGTGAGATGAGCTAACCCTGAGGCGCTCTGCACTGGATACATTCAACAACTCCAACTTGGACCAATCCACCTTGCAATTGTGACACTTCTGCATTGTTGCAGTTCGTAAAGTTAATTATTTAGTAATGTTTTAACCCAATTTTTGTTTTCTTATGCAGACTTAAATATTTAATTGCTCTTTGTTCTAATTCCGAAACATCCTTACGCAGTTCTGTTGTTAAATTTGCACTTTGACAAGTATAGTAGATGTCTTTATTTAAAAATAATCCTAATAAAAAGAGTTATACACACTTGAACATTCCATCGCTAGGACCTTTGACTAATTTTTGGACGAGCTCCTTGTCAAGTTTTAGGACCCGTTCACGTAGCTGCCGATTTCAATTGAATACGGCTGCAAAACTGTAAATGGCGTGTGAGTCTTTCTTGCATTGAGTTTTTCTGTATTCCTTACAGAATTCGACCACCAGGAGTCCCCACCTTACCGAGGCGATACCGAGGTCGGAATGTTAACGAGGTTTGAAAATACACTTTTGTTCAGTTTGATAAACTATATTTAAATCGTCCTGCATGATTCTTTAAGCAATTCATTCACAAAAACGTTAAATTTTGTATATTGTTTACCTTTAAAATATAGCTCCCTAAAAACTCGTATATTGTAGTTAAGAGACACCGAGATACGATGATAAATACACACAATTTTTAATAACGATACAATAGTACTTTTGTTGGTATGGACTATTTTCTTCAACAAAGTTAGATAACAAATTTTAAAGCTATGAAAGTATAAAATCTATGTCCTTGAAATCAACATATTTGTTTTGTCTTAGAGAAGAAAAGAGCCACTCAACACATGTACTGAAGTATCCGGTTTTGCTGCAAAGGCAAACATTTTAAAAACAATTTTACTGTAAAATAGACAAACACAAATTGAAGGTTGATGCTCTTTTTGCACAGTAACAGTAAATATTGAACAATGTCCAAAAGACGATACAAGGTAATTAGCGTCTCTTAAAACCAAACCATCTTGTATCCAAGTAATATGATGCAACTGTGGATCAACGTTTAAGTGTCTTATTAGATGTTTCATGTCAGTTAGTGTACAATAATCGAATTATTATTCACAATTAGGAACTAGAAGAAACGAAATAAAGAATGTAAGGAAGGGTGCATACCACAGCAAGTGGGAGAGGGCGCGTAGGTCTACACAATGCAAGGCTACATACTCAGATGTGCTTAAGTCAAGTCAGGACGTAGGCCACAATCTATTTCTGCCTCTAAATACAGATGCTATTTTAAATAATTTGTCAATACGACTAATTCCTCTAATTCCTTTATAATTAATACTATTTGTTTCTTTCTTTCTTAACACGAAAAATACCATAGTTAATATATCATGGATAAGCAAAAATACTCAAAGTTATACAGAAAACTCCCTAAAGGCCAACAATATTTCCTAATTAATCTAAAAGAAATTAAAGTTAATATAAAAAAAACAACGTATAACAAATGATTCACCAAGTAAAGTAGTAATTTTAAAGGTTATCCACACGTTTGTTTAAACGTGTTTGATATTTCACCATAAAGATGAGTAGAAGGCAAGCCTATCTATTCAATTCCAAATTCAATCTAATTTACATAAAAGTTGAAACATTGATTTGTTTCATTCACTGAAAATTGTGTATGAATAAATTTTGTTGATTCCAGATTCCAGCATATCTTGTAATCAATACTGATAACTAGTTAGTATATCGGCGATAACCTAGAGTATAAGGAACATTTGTCAGGACACATCTATGAGTACAAGTTTATAGATCTGTCAAAATCACAACCAAAAATATTGCTTTGAATTAGCTCTGTTACAGTCCCAATAAAAATTAGAAAGAGTATTTACACTTTTTTGTTAAACTGAGGGGACCGAATCACTGACGTTATGTTTTTATTGACTGTGGAACTCCGAAATGATAAACAGTGTACAGTAAGTCAGAAAGCTGGTCGGATCAACGGCCGCGCGAAGACAGCGCATGCGCCCACCACACTTCTGTCACCTGCGTCCCCGGTACGCACTGTCGCGCGCTTGCTATTAGCATAATCACATCTCTCAGTCCGCAGCCCGCACTGACTATGTGTTCGAATTTAAATCTAATCAAACTAAATATGCTACTGGGGATTCATATTTTTTAATTCAATAACGACTGGAAAGGAAGAAGGTACGAAAATAACTTGTGGAAAGTCATTAGTCGTGGGAAGCGAGGCGCCAACCTGTGTGGCTGGTGTATGAATATTAATTATGAATGTCTATCTGAGTGCTTCTCTTCACTGGGCCTTTGTTTGGTTAATTATAGTTCACGAGTAGGTCGACGATTGTGTCTATGAAGTTGTTCCTTCGATTGAAATGTCTGTTGATAACAAATGTCGCGAGCCTAGTGTTGTAATCGTTTGTTATTAATTGTTTGGCTATTAATGATATTAAGTTTTTCGACATTGTACAATTATTTATACTAAACGATTATTTGACTCTTTCCGTTTGGTTGCACATGTTTGGAAATATTTATCATCGTTATTTATTCTCTTTTTCCACACAATATTTCATGCTTTTGTTGAAACATTCCTTGGCAGTAAAAAAACGTAAATATACAGTGAACTAAATTACTATCATTTGTCAGTTGTCTTGCTGAAAAATAAAAATTAGGTTAACTAGGATAGATCAAAGTGAAATTACAGAGGTAATCAATTTTAACCTACAACTGAACCTGAGCCTATTGGATGTCGAATCTAATCAATTGCGTATCTTGAAAGTATAAGTGCACCTATATGTGTGGAAAACGTCCGTTTATACTAAAAACTATAGATGACAGAAAAATGTAGATTATAAATTTATTTACTATTCCTTTTAAAATAATAAAAACCTACGCTATTAAAAGTTATTCACGAAACCAAGTTTTGAAAGTAGCAGACAATTATGTAATTTAACGGGTTATTCAATGGAAACTTCTTTGTTGGGCAACTGAGCTTGAAAAACTTGTTGCTTCTATTTGAATTGTCCTTATGACCAGTCTAAGCAATCTTTTACAGTTTAACTTTTTGGATTTTAACCTAGTTAGACTAGTTTGCTTACGGATAAATATTTACTCGTGTTATGACCCAAAATCAAGTTATACCTTGATTTTCCGTTGTTTGCTGTTCCGCTGCACCTGCATATTTATACGAAACTGAGAATTTAGCTTCAACGAGACGATGAATATACACACCGTAGTTTAGGATAAATGCACAAAGAGTGTCATTCATTCTGTAATTCAACCTCTAATAGCCTACCTACTGAGAACTAGCAAATTGTTGCTTTTCACAATTTCCTACAATGCTAGATATTTATACTTTCACGTTCAGGCCTTTGTATGTCTTTGTGTGTTTGTTTGTTTGTTGTTGTTTATGTGCCTGATGTTTGTCGTCAGTCCTTGTATGCTCTATCTACTCTTAACAACTTTTATCCCTACCCATTGGATCTAAAAACTTATCGGCTTAACAGCCAACCAATTCCCACCTATTATGTGATACGGTATTTTATAAGAGCGTCAGTTTATTGCATTATTTAATTTGTCTTTGCCATATAATATTGTATTTCCTTGCATCATCCTTACTCTCTCATTCTTTTCCAGCACGCCAACAGCGTCCGGAAGTACGCTGAAGAGTATGTAACTCGCAGACAGAACCAGGGGGCCAAGTACAGCAAGTCCGGCCAGACAATCGCGGCATCGGTCCTCAACTTATCTTCGGTTCGCTCCTTCCCTGGAGCCAAGGCTGGAACCTTCTTTGCCAGAGACAACGTCTCCAACTTCATCTCCTGGTGTCGTCGCGGCCTCGGCGTCTTCGAGTGCCTTCTTTTCGAGACAGACGACCTCATCATGCGCAAGAACGAGAAGCACGTGATCCTTTGCCTCCTCGAGGTTGCCCGGCGAGGTGCTAAACTTGGTAAGTAAAGCTACATTTCATCTTAGATTTTAATATGTTATAACAGCTTCAATTGATGTAAATTGTATGATAAGGCATTAACTGAAATAACTTACAAAAACGTTTGTTTACAAACCTACTTTCTCCCACAACATTTTACACCACTCTACATTTGGTTTTATTAATACCATATATTTATCAACCGTAGGCTTTCGCGGCCGGTGCCATTTAAACTTATATTTTTGGTTTCAACCACGTTGTCAGTTAAAGGTTGTGCCCGACGTTTCGCCCTTATTTTGAAGAGACATCCCCAGTACCTGATAGAGGATGCACCTTCAAAATGTTAACTGTTCTCTTCTTCATAAAGCTACGTTGTATGAGAAAATTTGATTAGCTAAACAATAGTGGCAAATTTTGAGTCAATGATTATGTACCTATTGTATAAATAAACAAAATCCTGGTTACATAAGTGTACATGAAGTGTATGAGTCTATGGAGAATCTTCAGACAGCAATATTAACACAAACCTTTAGGGGAAAACTGATGTTGTAATTAATTAACACCTAATGTCCATTGCTGAATATGGATGAAAAATCCCTCAAAAGTAAATTGATAAACAAATAACCAATACGGTTTCAGAATTTGTCCAATACACTCTGTAGCTGTTATTTTCTCTCGTATCCGGTTTAGCAAAGATAGATGAGAACAATTATAAGGATTGGCTATCATTTAATTCATCTAAAGCGCTGGGAATGGGTTCCTCTATGGAATTAATTTGCTTCGCAGATATTCCGGGCCAAGTTATTGTGTCCGTATTTGTGTGTGCGTGCAAGCACGCGTTCAGTGCGTGTGTAATGTGTGTGTTTGCGTGCAGCCGTGCTGACTGCTGAGTGTAATTCTTCTGCGATTGCCGCACATCGTCCAGTCACGCCACGACGCCGCGTCACGGGTTCGATAACTGCCCTGCGCACCAACTATGTACAATGTCCATAGCTCTTGTTTGCATTCTACTGGGAATCCACATGACAAACTGTAGTGTCTTACTCATTCGGTACATTAGATAATGGATATTTTGGATTGCACATAGCTAAGTTTACTCTGAGACGAAACTTCTGGTATGCAAATTTCAACTAAAGAAAGTGCTTCGAAACTACATACTGTAACCATTTATATAAAACTTTTTATGAGCCGTGGGTACAGGTCATCGCCATATTATGACTTTCCTTTACGGAAATTAAATACAAAAATACGTCTAATAACACTTTAAACATATATTTAAACTTAAACTGTTAACTCACGAGACGGTAAATATATATAATAGTGTAAAGTAAGTGGGGATCGAGATCGACTGGCACTCCAATCATCATCAGACCCAATAGGCGAATGATTTTTTTTATATACTTTCCATTAATTTAATATCATGTACAATGCTGACCAAGGAATGTTTTTCCTTTACCCTCTTCCATTTATTTGTCATTGAGGTTTGTAGTGACGAGCGGGGCTTCGACCTGGAAAACCCAGATCTTGTAGAAATACCTTAAACTTTTGTTGCTTTTCTGTTTAGAAAAATTAAACTAAAATTAAATCTACAAAAATATACATATCTTAAGTGAGGAGAAAAAACTGTTGATAAACATTTTGAAATCTTCTGCTACTAAAATCTGTGTGAAATGTATAAATATCTCTCTACATTTTGGCATTAATGAGATTGTATCTTTTATCAACTTTCTTTGTATATTTGTGAATGTTCTTTATTATATTATAAGTTGAATGTAAATAATTGAGTTTTATACGACTTCGTGACGTATATGTACAATAGTTACTGAGGTTTTTATTCAAATAATACATTATAAATAATTTGAATGGCGTACGTTGCCTGATTAACCTCAAATCATTTTAGAGTTTCGAAAAAGAAACATTATGCTTTGAGGTGGAATTATTAAGTACAACCACAGAATAAGAAGAGAAACATTTTATCTAACTCATTATTCTATGGTAGAAAACTTTATGGTCCTAGACTTCCGGAGTCCGAAAACAACGTTATAGTACACCGAAAACACAGTATAATCGCTCAACTGAGCAAGTCAACACGTAAAACCCCCGAAATATTAACGTATTTGCTGTTTTAATGACTAAACAAGTTATTTATACAGGGTTAGGCAAAAGTCTGGAACCCCCCAGTTAACCTTTTTAACGCGTTGCAGTAGGAAAACCAAACTTGGCACATATTTACAACATAAGAAATTGCACTTTTTCATCAAAATTACAAATTTTCAAAAGTAAACACCTATCATGTGAGGGGTTTCTCAAGACAAATTAAATGGCGCAAACTAGAGGTCAATATCGCATCCCTAATCAAAATGGCAGTCATTTGTAAACACCCCCTATTAAATTTTTAACAGGTTTTAGCAGGAAAACTAAACTCACCATACCTTTATAAAAATTGAGAATTCACCTTTTGATCAGTATTAAAATAACAAAAATTTTAAAGTTAACTGGAGGTGTCCAGACTTTATCTTATTTGTTCATCTTAAATAATTAAAATGGCTGCCATTTTGATTAGGGGTGCGATATTGACCTCTAGTTTTCGCCATTCAATTCCTCTTGGAAACATGATAGGTGTTTACATTTGAAAATTTGGGGCTGCCCCCAAAATACCCCATTTTGAGGGCTGGGACAAAGTTGTAACTTTGATCTAAAAGTGCAATTTCTTATGTTGTAAATATGTGCCAAGTTTGGTTTTCCTACTGCAACGCGTTAAAAAGTTAACTGTGGGGCTCCAAACTTTTGCCTAACCCTGTATAAATCGAAATAATTCACTTATAATATCCATGAAAATGCGTGTTTTTAGCGAATTTCCCATATAGGGTATAAGCTATTACCGTAGTACTCATGGTAAGACTTGGACCCGGGACCGATTTACTTTTTCGTTTTGAGGTCCCTGGAGGCCAAAAACACCATCCGTTCAAATTCATATATGTAAATTATGTTCCGTTAGCACGATAACTCGAGCAAAAATGAACCGATCTTCATTAAATTTGCCATAAACGTGTGAACCTACATTTATTCGAACGAGTTCGCGAACCAGCATGATCGGACTATGGGAACGGGGATTTATGGAGGGTTTTATGGGGTAAAAACAAGTTTTTCCCATTTTTGACCCTAAAAACACAAAATTTCACAATTTCTTTCCAAACCATTTTGTAGGGCTTAAAAAAACAAATAATTTAGTATATTCTAGCGTTATTGTGCGCCTAATGGTTGTGGAGAAAATTCAAAAAAAATTTAATTTAAAATTCCCTTGTTATTCTCATGGAGAATAAGTCAACTGTTGCAGTTTGCTTGTTTATGAACATATTTTGATCGAATTTGGAAAATACATTCATTTCTTACTAAACTATTAACATTTTGCAAAATAACAAACTTTTTACGCTCCCTGTTGTAGTATACCCAAAAGTACTCGTTAAACTAATTCTATTTAAATAGGGTTAATATAAATAGGGTTATTAAAATAAATGTGATATTTTTAGGAGCTATTTTAGAGTAAATCCAATCAGGCTAATGGAAATTCGCTTAGTCTGCAGGTTTGCTGCGGCGGGGGTATTTAGTTAGTTCATTCAAACATCATACCATAAATACAAATGAAATCATAATACAAACCAAAGTGGAGTTCCTTAATTGTGTTAGTTATGGACCACAAGTTTCACCATTACAAAAGTGTACTTTCTTATTTCGCAGTTTTATCTCTACGAAATATACATTTCTTTGCATTCATTGCCTGTTATTTTTTCAACTTTAGTTTTTATTTCATGTTAGCATATTTTTATTTTATAACTTTATATTTGTAGAATTTTCTCTAGATTCTATCCAAGTCGGAAGTATATTATCAGTTTATAAGATAATGTATCTTCCGCGAACACTTTGTCTCGATAACGAGTTTCTCCCTATTATATTTCAAACAAATCACATACCATATGGTATTACTTTATTTTCCATTATACAATGGAAAATTCAGTCACAGCATTACTTAGAACCAATTTATTTCTATTAGTTATAATTATCATAAGTAAACATGATTTCTTGTAGTTTATTTTACTTACCTGAATAACTTGATGACAAAATCTAACTTGCTGAGTATAAGAGACACACAACATATAGGGATAATATAATACACATCATAAGTAAATAGATTTAATTTTTATATGATTTTGCTGATAATAACACTTGAACTAGAGCACGTTACAATTACACAAATAGCCTATCGGTATCCTGTAATTACTAGTACTCGGCTAAAATACTCTATAGAACAAAACCTTGTTTATTTGTTTATTTATATTGTTACTTAAATCATTAGGTGTTCTTTGATTTCAACAACACATTAATAACTTCTATAAAGCTACCTAACTACTTATCTTATTAAGTAGTTGCTTTTTGGTTCCACTGTTATGTTTATTGACGTAGGACTAATTTTTTTACGATTTATCGGTGTAATCGTGTAACAAAAAAGAAATGCAAATTAACAAATCATTTTAAAATTGTAACTGTTTTGTAAATGATTAATAGTTTATAACCTATTAAATACGAGTTTATAAATAGATTCTTCTCAAAAAATGCTTCGACCAAAAAATGCTCGACCAAAAAATGCTCGATAAACAAACGAAGAAACAGGCTACGCAAGGGAGAAAGGAATCTGATGTCAAGGACATCAGCTGCATCACTAATTATTGTTGTTAATATAAATGTAGTAGAGAATCAACATCGTGTACGGCAGGTTTGAAAGGTCAGTTTGCAACCGATTCTGTCGAAACAAGCATTAAATTGCATACATTGATTGCTACGTATAACAATTAGCCTACCTCATACCTTTTAATCACTCTTCACAGAAAGTAGTGATTTTTGTTATCACCTGATATAAAAGAAAGTAATTGTTTCCCATGATTTAATTTAGAGCAAGGGGAAACGATCAGCTGATTTTCCCTCAATCAGTTCTCCGTTCGTCTTATACTCGTTTAAAATTTATTTTCATTATTTAAATCAGCTGTTTTTACTGTTTGACAGTACAAATGTCAACAGAAAAATACATGAGTCAGTTTTGTGTTGTTTTAACCTCTAGAGCGAATTTATAGCAAAATTAACATAGCATTGAACTTCTTATTATTACGGTCTAGTTATATAGGTTTGCTATAAACTTTTTGTTTTATTTTCAATTTGTAATTTTAATTTTACTTAGGTTTGTTATGTAAGTATCCTGGTGTCGTGATGAAAAGAATCGTTCATAACTTGTACCATTAGTAATATTCCAGCACTTGTCTCAATTATTCTCGGCTTTGCATCGTACGCGAAATAACACTCACATACTCAGCTTTGCCTCGCACGTTGAATTTGGTGTTCCTGTGTTCGGCTATGACACATGAAACACATGAAACTTGAGCGTTCACCGGAAAATGACACTTTCGGCACTAGTAATTGAATATACTATTGGTTAGTTGTTTTGCATATATTAGGGATCATATATTGACATCGGTTTTTACATTGGACACTTATAAAGTTTGGTTTCACAGATATAACTTGCGATTAATGTATTTACGCGTTATTTTTTACAATTGTTATAGAACCAGCTTGTCCCTTCTAGTTAAGGTTAAGTGAAACGGACTGGGTTTGGTTTAACAAGAAGGGAACGGAACAAGTCAAGTGAACGAAGCCATAGTTGTGGCGTGTTGCTTCGAGAAGCCATGAGAAGATGTTTGATCATGAAAAGCATGAGAATGTTAATTTGCGAAACTTGAGCACTGTACAATGCCAAAGCTTTTAGCCGATAAAATATACAATAAAGCAGAAACAAATCGAGATTAAATGTGCTTTACAGTTTTAATCACATATACTGGTCGATTGTTAGAGCACCGGACGAGAGGTCATGGAAAGCTAGGTTCAAATCCTCTCAATCACCAATGGCTTTAAGGGCTATGATATTGCCACCTGGTGGTTCGGAACCCACCTCAGCTCTCTAACAAAAACTTTGTTCCTTCCTTATGGTCCTTTACTTCCAATTGTATGTTTAAGGTGTAAGTAGAGTAAGTAAATAAAATAAATTGTAACTATTTGTAACCATACCAATTATAGCAAAAAACACACTAAAGTCTGTCATCAGATTCAAGAATCATTAATGTTTCACTTATTAACACTGATACTGTGTAGTTGGGAATATAACGTGACCTGAGTTAACGCATGGGCTAAATAAAAATAAGGCTACTTTTCTGTCATATCGAACACACTAATGATATTGCATAGGTTTGGTTGAGATTGTCAAAGTAGCTTAGTATCATAAAATCACATTAGTAGAAATAATTGAAGGTACCTCAATATTTTACATTATATGAATCTAACCTAACCCTACCTGGTCTAACCAAACGTGCAATGAAATAAGTGTGGTCGATCTAACATAAGACGTGCAAAAAAATACTATAGACGTTATCACTGATTTTGTTTAAATGTGCAGTGTAACCAATTTGCTAGAAATTTTGCTAAACGTTGGTATAATTTCTCGAATGCAATATAGCTTCTAGCCTTATATTGGTAGATGGTTATATATGATCTGTTTTTTTATTGTGAGTTTTTCATACACAGCACTTCCACAGATTATATTAAGGGTTGACTACATTCTTAAGCTTATTAATTGCTACACAAACATTAAATATAATTCATTCATCCAACCTTTATCATAATAATTTTGCTATAAATATTAAAGAATAACTGAAGGCGCTACTAAAATTAGTACAGTAGCCTAAACGTGTTATTGTGATAAACGCGTATGTCAATGTTCATGTTCGGATGTACTAGAATATTAGGGGATTGACAAAAATGGAAATAGCCTACACAATTTACAGATATCCTAGAACTATTCTATAAATCTTCAGCTTCTACTATCTGTATATCATCTGTGTATATTTCAAGTATACCCATGATAGCAGCAAATAATTGGGAAGTTCCCAGTTAGTAATACTGTATTTATTAGGGGAATACACAGTTACAGATTTATCCTAGAGAGTCAGAACCCTCTACATTATCTGTATATCTTGCAGGTATGCCGGCGCCCATGTTAGCAGCAAGTAACTGAAAGTTACCAGTTAGTAATACTGTTTTTATTAGGGGAATACACAGTTACATATTAATCCTAGAGAGTCACAGCCCTCTACACTATCTGTATATGTTGCAGGTATGCCGGCGCCCATGTTAGCAGCAAGTAACTGAAAAGTTACCAGTTAGTAATACTGTTTTTATTAGGGGAATACACAGTTACATATTAATCCTAGAGAGTCACAGCCCTCTACATTATCTGTATATCTTGCAGGTATGCCGGCGCCCATGTTAGCAGTAAGTAACTGAAAAGTTACCAGTTAGTAATACTGTATTTATTAGGGGAACACACAGCTACAGACTTATCCTAGAGAGTCAGAGCCCTCTACATTATCTGTATATGTTGCAGGTATGCCGGCGCCCATGTTAGTAGCAAATATTTGGGAAGTTCCCTGTTAGTAATACTGTATTTATTAGGGGAACACACAGTTACAGACTTATCCTAGAGAGTCAGAGCCCTCTACATTATCTGTATATGTTGCAGGTATGCCGGCGCCCATGCTGGTCCAGCTGGAGCGGGAGATTGACCGCGAGATCGCAGCAGACAAGCGCGATCTGAGGCGAGGGCTGAGTCAGGGAGGTCCAGGCTACGAGTTCGAGGATGACGACGACGAGAGCGACATGAGCGACGCCGAAGACCACTGCCAGTACGGTCCTACCCCGCAGATCGTCACCAATGACCTCAAGAGTCTCGACGAAATGGTCAGTCTTATCTCTTGCATGTCTTTCGAGTCACTAAGATGTTACATTTAGTGGCAACATTGGATTTTGAATTCTAAAGTAGACATCCCATCTATGTGGATCAGCTATGAAAAAGGAGCCTAGTTGAATGAACCACTCAGAATGTACTTCTGTCTACTGTATAAGTTATTTTCATTCTCAGCTATTGTTACTGCGATTTATGTGGCCTAAAAGATGCTATAGTTTGCAAATAAGTTATTCACTTCAGCCTTGTTCAAAAGGTTGGAGTATCCGGGAGAAATCAGAAATTTAAATCAGCGCACTCTTTTGGTGGTTCAATTCAACAAGGTTCATTTTTATCCTAAAACTGGCTACATACGTAAAATGAAAATAGAATATCTAGTTATGTCTATCGTCATAGGTGACACATTGAGTGTGGTGCTACTGCTAAGTTACTGAGGGTATTGGGTGTATTGTGAACTTACTGCTTACTGCTGTTCTTCTCCTCCGCAGTCATCAAGATTGGGGGAGGTGTATTTTTTCCTTTTCTTGTCTTTCTGGTTTATGAGTTTCTGGTTTTATTTTCTTCTGTTGTATGTGTGTTCATACAGGAAATAGTTTAAGCTGTAGTAGAGACGTTCGAGGAGATTTTCAGTTGAGTAGAGCATTTTTTTGTGTCTTGAATATTTTTAAGACTGTTTGGTAGTAGATTGTATAATTTTTTCTCTCTATACGTTGGGATTTTTGCAGTTCTTTCTAGTCTATGCTGTGGTAAATTTAGGTAATTTTTCCTTCTGGTATTTTAGTTATGGGTTTCAGTTCGTTTGATAGAATCAAATTTAATTGCTTGGGTTACTACTTCAACTAGGTACAAGAATGTTAATGTGAGAATCTTTAAAAGAATGGTTTGTAATGTTCTTGATATTGGAGATTGCTTATTTCTGTGTTACAAAAATTCAAAATTGATTGGAAAAGGTTTGTACTTGCTGCGTCCGAGGCATGTGTCGATAAGTGCATGGTATACTTGCAATATGCATGTATTGCTTGCTTAGTTGTCTCAGACTTCGGTGTGAGAGTGACGGGTTCAATCCCCGGCTTATTAAAAAAGGAAAATTGAAGTAAATCTTAATAAGTCTCTAACGAATACAGTATGCAAATCCATGAGCCCAATTATCTTTCAACAGGAACACAGCCTATCTTTTTTGTAAAGAGTCGCTCACTACTGCGAGATTTACATTTTTACAAACTGTTCAGAGCGTTTGCAAAGATAGTTACGAGGGGTTGTTTCTGATTGCATTTCCTAATAGTTTGACTTTTGGAGTATGATGTTGTACATGATTTTTAAATTTGTAGAGAATAAGTAAACATTTTCGCGTTAAGGAATATACCAAGAACGCAATCACACTCTAGGAACCTGTTTAAGTTATAATAAAATATTTTATCTTAAAATATAACAGTTATTTTTATTTTTGAAATAAATGTTTAACACATTTAAGTTTTCTTTAATTGCATCTAGGCATTAAAGATGGCGTCCTTTTCAATAGGGGATCTTCATTTTAATCTATGTTGAATATCACCGTTGGAAACAAAATTCCCACGAAACTTTGCACTTTGACGGCAAGACAGGCATATATTGGAGCTTTAGAAGAGTTTTTATAGAGGAGAGGAGGCCATGTGATATTGATTCCTCTTTCTCAAGATTTGCAACATCTAAAAGCATTACAAAATTGTTTCTTTCCCTTCTCCTCCATTTGGACCTCTGCTATTAATAATTATGCACTACAGTTTCCTAACAATTTTGTATTGATTTTCCTATTTGGTCTTCAATCTCAGCGAAATAAGCTATCTGAAGTTCAAGTAAAGTTCATTGTTGCTCAAGTTTTGATATAGTCTTATCATTTCAAATGTAATTTGTAGTGCAATAGCGTTAGAGATTGAGAGTGTTTAGCGTTAGGGTCTAACCATCATTTCAGTTAGGGCCAATAAATTTCAATTAAGATGTGGCCCACTACACCATGACGCTACTGTTGGCTTTAGAAACTGCTGTGTACAAACAAAATGTTCATCCCTCATGACTTTTTGAAGAACTTTGTTTAGAAAAAGTTTGTGTTTCTTTGTGTTTCAAAATTTAAGCTTTTTATACGGAACCATCTAAAAGATGTTAAAATAAAATGGTACTATTCCATTCAAATACATATATATATAAATAAATATATATAAAGTTAGTATCATGGAGTTGTCCAAAGGATTAAGCCATAATTCTCTAATGACCTTGGGATGGATCTTAACATTTTTGTCGTCCTTTATTTTGGAGTATAATTATGTTTGTTAACAGTATAGAAAGTCTCTAAGTCCTGTGCTTGTGACGTAATATATCAAAGCGTTAGACGACATATAATTCTGAAATGTTGAATCGTGATTAAAACATCCGAATAAAATTAAATGGGTAGTAGGTATCCACGAATAAAATCCATGCATTTGACAATATAATGCCCATCGTCGCACTGATTCACTCTCTAAAACTTACTAAATTCAAAGTCGAACAAAACTAGGTTGTTGTAACTCCAAATATGTATAATTACTATTTTGTTGGTGTGACGAACATAATAATACTTCATGTCAGAAATTTTCCTAGTGACATTCAACTCATGAGGTTGTAGTCTACGTAGAATTAAGCACGCTATAAATTAGTTATGACAAATCTGACACAAGACTAGTCATGTTGAACGCTAAGAACATGTTGGAGGCTAAGTTAGCTACATGGTCTGGAAATACATGTTAGTTATGTTTAAGATTTGCAGTCCGGAACTAGAGTATCCTGCACCCCCCAGATTGTCCACCAGGATCGTCGAAAGTATCAGCAAAAAACTAAAACACGAGAGAGCGCGTGGTGCAAGCGTTTGATATAGATTACTTGCGTATAAAAACGGGTTTCTTACGGTTCCGATAAGGTGATATTCTATTTTTCACCGCGGCAGGTAAAAATGAGAAAGTCAGCTTTGCCTCACGGCCGATCTAGTCATTGTCCAAGCCGAGCGCCTTGTAGGCCATCTACTGCTCAGATTTCAATCGGGCATTGAGGCTGTCGGAGGGGAGTGTTATATGATAGGCTCTGCCACATCACTTTAAACCCCACCTCTACAAGGAACTTGATTACATCAGGTAACTATGTGTTTTTATCTGGAATCGATACGAGTTTTTATTGGCTGTTGGAACTGGCTTTCCGTGACTAAAAACCTAGCATAATGCGTGAAAACACTGATTTGTCAAGCTTGAAAAATAATGTGACTGTGAAAGTAAAACATCTTGTTCGCTGAAACTTAACTTACAAAGTTCCCTCTAAGTTAAATGTGTAAATAAACCTGGTACTTAATAATTGATTCGGAAAAATGTGTATTACGTAGAAGCTCAAGTGGGTATGGTACAGGCCATCTGAGAACTCCTTGACATGTCAGAATAAAGTATTCTAAGATATACATCATTGGATCATTGGATGTATGCGAATCTAGCTTCTCCTTAGTGAGTAGGGTGTTACTAAGAACAATCTAGCATTCCGTGACGTATGAAAGGTACAAGGATCTACTTTGCACCCATTTACTTATGGAGAATATAAGGACCTACTTAACACCCATTGACGCATGAAGGGTATCATGATCTACTTAGCACCCATTTACGTATGAAGAGTATAAGGATCTACTTAGCACCCATTCACTTATGAAGAATATAATGACCTACTTAACACCCATTGACGCATGAAGGGTATCATGATCTACTTAGCACCCCTTTGCGTATGAAGAGTATAAGGATCTACTTAGCACCCATTGACTTGTGAAGAATATAATGACCTACTTAACACCCATTGACGCATGTAGGGTATTATGATCTACTTAGCACCCCTTTGCATATGAAGAGTATAGTATAAGGATCTACTTAGCACCTATTGGCGTATGAAGGGTATAAGGATCTACTTAACACCCATTGACGCATGTAGGGTATTATGATCTACTTAGCATCCCTTTGCATATGAAGAGTATCGTATAAGGATCTACTTAGCACCTATTGGCGTATGAAGGGTATAAGGATCTACTTAGCACCCATTAACTTATGAAGAATATAAGGACCTACTTAAAACCCATTGATGGATGAAGGGAATAAGGATCTACTTAGCACCCCTTAACGTAAGAACGGTATAAAAACATAACAAGAATCGTCTTGACGCATGGACGGTGTGAGGTCATTGACGAATGAAGAGTATAAGGAGCTACTTGGCACCTTGCAGATTAAGCGATCAAAAGATCAAATTTGTACATTAAAGGTTCAAGAACCTAATAGAAAGCAAGCAACTATCTTGCATGCTATTTGCCTTCTAGAAATACACGATATTTTATCGATTCTAATTGGCGAATCAGCAGTATGGCCATTTACTAAGTAACTACCAAGTACTCCTTCCTACCTTCTGAGTAAACAAATTTACTGTGAGTGTATGGGTAGTTTTAAAATGAACAAAGATAAACTAAACTCACCATTCCCATCGTGTGTTAGGGATACAGTGACTTACCCACCACGTCTTTGGTGTACAAGTGATATACGGGTTCTTCTTATTTTATATAGTTTTACGGCATGTTTTGGTTCAAATTAATATTATTTTGCCCCGTGGTTACCTAAAGCACTAATTTGTTATCATATAAGTCTACCACTTGTTTCTGGTTTTATATTTGTTGCTTTCATTTATTTGAAGCACATTCAAGTCAACATTTACTTCCATTTGATTTTATCACTTTACTGAATATTAATCATTGCTGTTAAAGTATTTTTTCATTGTAAGCAACATTTTGTAAACACATTTGATATTGTAGGTTTTGTGGGTGTTACTAGAATGTTTTATAGTTTATAGCATTGCATCATTATCTAAACGATACCCTAACTGTGTTCCTTGTCCTACGTAGTGTAATGGGTTTCGGCTAAGATACGTCGGGCTTTCTCCACTACCGCCCTCGGTCGATTGCTTGATAATGCCTCAG